CATTTGCTCCAGTTTGGCGTCTGTAAAAACAGTATTACCCAAGGTATTATCAGTTTTATACACTTCTGCTTATCCCAGACAGGAACATTTTTTTCATGATCAGTACTGGAGATCTGGTAACTTATAAATGTCTTTATTTTGCTCAGAGACCAATAATTCTCATGAAGATTATGGCAGATATATCTGAACAGGTTCCCTCTCTAATAGAAAAAGCTGCAGCTTTTGTTTTCTCCTTTCTGGTATTTCCTGAGCACCTGAAGGTTTTCTAATACTTTCATTACAGCTGAAGGAAGAAAATCCGTCTCCTTCAGTATTTTTAACTTTAAAACTTTGCAGGGATAACATTCTATGATAACAAGAGACAAAGTATCTTATTTCTTCTCTGTCCTATTTTTATTTTTTGTTCAATATTTAATATTATACAAATAATCTTAGCAGTGACTTAGAAGATAACTTGAGGCTGGTTAAAGAGGTCAACTAGAGGCATATTGCATTCTGAAACTAAGAGGTCAATGGGTGTGTCAAAGCAAGCACCCAGAAATATCATGTTCCCAAACCTTTAGCAACTCTTGAAAATCCAGTGAGTAGCTTGCCTCACTCCAGGGACGAAGAAATACAAGTGGCACAAAGAAAAGGTACAGTGGTCATGAACTAAACCTTCAAGACAACCTGGACTGTCTATAGAGGAATGAAAGACCGTGGAAGTCAAACTGGGCGCTAACCTATTCTGTAAGAACACTTCAGAAACAAACAAAGGGTTTCAAGAATGAAGAAATTCAGAACAACAAAGCTGACCCAGAAATGAATCTGAGACCAGCATCTGGGTGACAGCTTCAAGTGGTCTTGCTGCATTTCCTCATCAAAAAAAACCCCAATAATTTATTGCTAAGGGCATTCTACATGTCCAATCTTAGAGAACAGACTTGTTGAATTAAGGCACAACTATAAATTCAATCTCACTAAATTCAGTGGCAAAACATAATTTATCTTACAGGAGGTAAGATTTCACTTTGCATTTCAGAATCACTTTCTGAGGTTCAGTTTGTCGCAATTAGCTCAATGATCTCATGCATAACACAAAAGAACAAAAACAATGAGATGGGAACTTATTAAACAAACAGCACAAGAAAATAACTCAATGAAAATGCAATTGAGCATTTCTTTTCAGAGGTCAGTAGTGTAACAGCACTAAAATCCCTGTCTGAGTCTATTCTTTTTAACTGAACATCATCTAAGAAATGTTCAGATGTGGAGAAGCCTTCAAGAGAATTTCTTTTCATTCCCATCTCTTTTTCTAGAGTATGAAAGTGATGGCTGTGCATCTTTTAACTAGCTGGTCAAAGCAAAAGTTTGAAGTCTTCTGCAGAATACTGAAGGGAGAAAAGCCTTTATTAGAATTCATGTTTTCTTGATGGCTATAAGCTCATCTGATCTTCTTGACTCTGAAGATGAGAAATACAACTGCCTTCATATCAATATGTTCAATGGGGCATCTAAAGTAAAATGGCACAAGAGGTATTAATTCTTGTATTAAGAAGCTGACATGAAAATAATTAGTGTTTTCACAGTAAAGCACCTTCCCAAAATGTTTTCACATTTGTAACTTTGGTCTGAGTTGCAGTCAAAAATATCAACATATTATTTCACTTCATAAAGGTAGTGGACAACCTCAAGGAATAGGTGACTCCTTTAATGTGTTTTCCACAGTGGAATTTATTTTGGAAACTGGCAAACAAGAATTTATTGCATTTAAGATCTTTATAGATCAATCAAGTTATCATTAATATGCCAGGTTTTTTATACCAAAAGGGGCCTTCATGGGAACAGAGATCAACAGTTTATGCTGTTGGTTGAAACTCTTCATGTCTAGCAAAATCAGTCACTGTCCCTTTATCTTCTTTTATAAGCATCTCTGTGCAGTCAGTGCAAGGGCATTCAAAAGACTGTCACAAAACCACAACAGAACAAAAAATGGAGACGCTCTTTCAGATAAGGCTCTTCAGCTCTTTACATGCTTTCCTTCACTCCATTTTGCCTATTATTGTACAAAGATCTCAGCAGTGATGCATTACCATAATATTTAGCCTTCATAAAACAGTAACGCTGTCCGGGTATTTGTGCAGCTTTCCTATCAGGAATGCAAAGAACTCACTCTCTGAGAAAATGTTTGCAAGACACAGAAAGACTGTTTTCATTAAGGTTCTCTCTGCAATGCTCAGTCTTAATTTCAAACAAGCAGTAGCCCTTTCCCACCTGTTTGTTCATATCCACAGTTTTTGCTAAAATGAGAGAAAATGTGTATACGATTAAAATTGAGCTTTTAAACAATTTCTTTCTTTAAAACTGACAGACTGTGTAAACCATTCAATTGCACATGAGATATTCAGGAACTCAAACTTGCCTGTATTTGCTTTGCATCTGTATTTCTCCAGGATCTGCGTGGCTCAGCTTTGCAACAGCTTTCCCAGAAGTGTCATTAGTAGTCCCCTCACCCCCTGAGAGTCATTCCCCTTAGAATTCTTGGAACAAAATTGTTCTTCCTTGTTGGCCTCCATGCCTCCATTTGTAAACACTCATCAATATGCTGTCCAAGTATTTTCTCCGTATTTTGGATGAGCTGGTGAAAGTCCTTTTTACTTCAAAATGCACTGTCAGAAGAAGTCTGACTCTGTCAAACATTGTGGCACAGGTTAAAGAAGTGTTATCCAGGTTTGGGGATTATGGGGATTTTTTTTTGTATGAAATACAAATGCTTATCAGCACTTATCTCAAGTTCAGAGATGGTCATGACTCATATTTTGTAATTATGTGCCTGCAGGAAGTACACATCCTACAGTCTATAACCATCTTGCAGATACATGAGCAGAATTTTGTCATTAAAATGTGCTATCAATAATCTTAGGTTTTATTGAACATTTAAATATTTCAGGCCACCAGATAATTAAATAGCATCTCTATTAAGATTTATAATAATAAAGAACATAAAGAATAGAAGGCATGGTTGGCAGGTATTGGGTGTATTTTGTGAAGAAACAGAATTTTAAATACATGCTTTAAGCAACGTAAAACTTCCTATTTGGAGGACAGAAAGGAATCTTTTTTATTATATTAAGGGCATCTGGTTAAGCTTGTCCTAGAGACACAATCCCAGAAAAATGACAGATGGGAGATCAATGCAAGATGTTATTTTTAAATACAATTCAGTGAAACATTTTAATCACTTCTCCAAATTTCTACCAGCATCATTTTTTTCTGCCAGCTACATGCATTACTTTTTTGCACATCAAGGTGCAGGACATGTTTTTGATACTTAACTCTATGCAATTAGAAGAAAGCATAAAGAATTAATTCTTTGATTCTCCTTTAAATGTTCCTCAGTTCAGCCCAGAATTATTCTCTTACAATCTAAAAGGCATATCACTGTAATCTGGATTACTCTTTGAAATGCCATTTGTTTGGATTCCTTTTCACTGGTAACCAGTCAGGTGGTCTACGGAGCTGTAGGTTTTCCATTTGTGGACACTAAAATTTGACATATACTTCCCAGTGCAGAGTACAATTCAGTGATCAGGAAGCCAGCCTGCACATCTAGCTTCACTTCTGTGACAGAGGTCTTGCATGGACTTAAGAAATGGCATTACAGCTTTCCCAAGGAAGTCAAAAGGCTTTGCTCCAGGTCCTAAGGCGAAAGCCTTTTCTACTTCTAAGACAGACCTTGGTTAAGATACCATGGATCGGAAAGATCACCACCAGTCCACTCTATCCTCCTCAGTTAGCAAGTGATTCTTCTGGTCCACTGCAGTTTTGTTGTTCTTTTCTAAATCATTCTTGTCACCCTCTCTAGGTAAAGCTATATCACAGCCATCACTGTGATCAAAGCTTGTGCAGATGCAGATGACCTCCAGAGCAGATACTAGCCAGCTCATGTACAGTCCCAGCAGAATGTAGCTCAGCAAATACCAGACACCCACTTCCTTAAGTAAGCTATTTACTAATACTGAATGCAGTGCTGCCATGGCTACAATGCTCACAGCACATGAGGTATTAAAACTTTGTGTGGCTTTAGGTACTCACTGAAGTCCAAGTAGTTCCTCAGATGGAAAGAGTCTCTCTCTCTGCAACAGTCCTCCATCAGAAACCCCAAAAAAGACAGCAACTGAAGCTCAGAACCTCTTTTTTTTTCTTCACCAAAAGCTTCGTAGACTGAATTTGTTAAAAGTCTTATTCATACCTCAGGCTGAGGAAGCCCCTCCTGCTTTCATCCACCCACCCCTAGACACCACAGCCCAAATACCTGTTTTAAGACTATTCCCATTCTAGTGGATTTTTGGTACCTGGAATTTCCAAATGATTGAATAAATAACACTAATAAAATAGTCTCACCGTGCCTTTCAAAAAATGAATAAACACATATAAATTTTCAGTAGTTTTATTGAAAAATGCCTCTTTCATTTCAGAAATAAATAATATAAGGCAGTGAAATTCACAATTTGCAGTTAAAATATAAAAGCAGCAATTCTATATCCATAGTCTTGCAAACAATTTCCAACTGCTTTTGATAACTAAGAAACATTGTATTCTGAAAAAAAAAAATCCATACTAAATATACAACATAAACATGCAATTCCATCTCTGCAGGATTGACTGCAATTTGGCATAAATGTTACTGTGTCTACAAACAAGGAAATTTCAGGCATTATTAAACTGTATCCAGTTGATACAATGATTTCAGCTACTTAAGGTTTGTGGTGTTAAAGGAGATGTATAAGAGCAGTATATGCTCTGCGAAGTGTAACTAAGAACAGAAGAAAATGACAATGATATTGGAAGGAGAGGGAAATTTTCATTTCTTTCTTTTTTAACTAGATAATGCAGACCTGTAATCTGACCAAACTGCAAACATGCATTTGAAAAAGAAGAAAAATGTAGAGCTAAAGCAGATAGTCCTTAGAAAATTTGTGGCAGCTCTGTGGTTATTTTTGTTTTGGTTTTTTGGTTTTCTTTTTTTTTATTTATTTGTTTTTACACTGTTTTAATGAAAAGGCAGCACTGGGATAACTGGATGCACATATTAAACTGTATGCAGCCACTATAAGCAAAAGTATTTTACAAGCGTTTCCAGAGCAATATGAAGTCTCTAGGTATGCACATTGCTATCCCCGCATAAGCAAGATACAAAACAGAGGTGCGTCTGATAAGACCAGAAAGCTATATTGCAAAAGAAATTATGCACTCTCCCTGTGTGTATCTGCAAATGCAAGTATAGCAAAAACAAAAATCACCAACCAAAAAAACCAAAACAAGACACAGATCTTTTATGGGTTTGTTTGTGCTTTTCTTGACAGCGATCTTTTCCAGCGCATGTGCTCAGGATATTCTGGTGAATGCATTTCAACTCCATAGTCCTCATACTCGTCCTCTCTCCTTTCTGACTCCATAGGTACTATAAAGGGTTCACCTTCAGGTTGATAGGGTCCACTTTCAGGCACGTATGGTTCTGGTTGAAAATAGTTGTCCGATTGAACATAATAGTTATCGCATGTCTTTGAATCCACAAATATAATGAAAGTTAGTTTGTCTACATAATGTTAGTCCAATCTTATTTCTGTGTAATAAATACATAAATTAATAGTTCACTGGGGGTAGTTTTCAGTTTTGTTCATGAATACTTTTTGGCAATAAAATAATAAAAAAAAGTAAAATTCATTTTGAAAGGCTCTGTATTTATAATACACAAAACATTGCAGAAAGTGTCTTAAATTATTCAAGGAACCAATTGTAAAACTAAAAAAACAAACAAAAAAAAAGTAAATCAAATAAAGATATTACTTTACAGCTACTTCAGAAAATCCAAGCACTGGACTTTATTTTGAACTGCATAATTAGCAGGAGATATGGAGCAGGTAAAATGAACAGATGGGTTTGGCATATACTAGTTTTCTCTGAGAACGGGAAAGTAAGTGTAGACACAACTATCACCAGCGGCAATATACAGTACATGTCATTTTCTCGTGCTGTTCCTCGTAACAAACCGAGTTACAGCTGGTGCTTCAGGAACACCAAAAACTACAGCAAAACAGAAGAAAAATAATTATAAAACTTTGGTATTTATAACTGCAGTTACAGAATCCAACAAGATTACATATGAAAAAAGGCACATGACCTGATTCAGACATGTTGGTAACAAGCAACAGACAGGTAGGTTTCATAAGTTGTCAAAGATGTTATTCTGGCATATAGCAAGCAGCAGCAGGCTTTTATGCAAAAGCATCATGTAGAGTTGTTAACAGATTTTAGTGGATAGGGTCCCATACAAATCATTTACAAGCCACAATTAGTTTACTATTTACATAAGTAATTTCTCATTTACCAGGTTAAATCTGTCTCTTCTAATGGCGTTACCTTTGCTGGTTAGTAGTTTTATAAGCCTCCTTCACCACTGAGGCTTTTCATGGTCTGGGTCTTTTTTTAAAAAAGAAATACTGTCTATTTTATTACTGAAATGCAACAGGCTTAATGAATTGACATCACTGTCCTTTATCTCATTCACAATTTGTGTTAGTAAAAAGAATTCCCCCATTCTATGAGGCCAACATGGTTCAAAAACCATATCTGTGGTGAAATATCCATACGGACTCATTTTCTAATAAGCACGTGCGCAAACATCTCAGAAACAGGATTTTCATGTATTCAAACTGTAAGCAGCACTGGCGACTTAGAAAATGTGTTAGCCGAAACCTGAAACAGGTCAAAGATGATGTTAGTCTTTTAAAAAGTCCATCCAATGTGCAAAAACATACTTTCATCCAACTAAATACATAACAGTTAAGTCCCAGGCATATATTTATATATGTATACATAGTTGCTTACTAGAAAAGAGGACACTGCTGAATCACAGGTACAATTTTCTTTCTTTTTCATTTAAATAAGAATTTTCTGTGACATCTGCACAGTCACCTGGCTCTTTAACCAGCAGCACTTGAGTCTGCAAGTGTGTACATATATATATATATTTTCTTTTTTTATTTTTCTTTTCATGAGTACATGCAAAATACACTAACAGCAAACCATATCCAATAGTAGTATCACATACACTGATTTTGAGATGATGCAATGCATACATATTAATTTGTTAACAACGCTGTGGTCCTGCAGGATCCCCATGTTAAAATATATTAGAAACTTTTCAGTCAGAAATTGATGGCCGCTGTGACCTTTATTTTTGATTCAGCCTACTGTTTTAAGCTACATCACAGAGTGGAAGGCTGATATGACCCAGGGCTAATCAGAAACTCCATGGTGTTTAATTCAGTAGAAATTGTAGGACAGTGGCGTTTTTCAGTTGTCTACACTGTATCACCGAATGGATTTCCTTTGTGGAAATTTTTTTATTTCAGGTATCAATTTTGTATAAATAATCCTGACATTGCTCAAAAAGAGACACACGGAAATTGCCAACCACAGCATTCTTTTTATTTTTCAAGAGAAACATGGAGAATTCAACCTTGTTCTGAAGACGATTGGAAGGGGTGGGGATGAAGGGGGAAAAAAAGAAGAAGAAAATGGTCACTTAAATCCTATGAGCAACATTATCAACTACTAACTATCTATGTTTAAAAAAAAAAAAAAAAGACCAAAATATTTAGTTACTACTTCCTATTTAAAGTAAACCACACATAACATCAAGTAAATCTGCATCAAAGTCCAAATGACTGCTCATATATCTGCACATTACAATGAGGTAGGCCTGCTCGTTACGATCCTTTCCTTCTGATTCAGTATGTTCAGGCTAGCAGGACTGTCTCATGTAAAGCAGCTCAATATGAACAGCCACATCTCAGAACGCTATTTAAGGCAAGTTAAGTTGTTCATAACCTACCTGGGAATCCTTGGCCATTGTAAGGGATGCTAGCACACTGGGATGAATCACAATATCCTGGTGGCCCTGGGGGACCTCGAATACCCGCATTTCCAGGACGACCTGGTGGCCCTGGCGGTCCTCGTGATCCTGTGGAGCCTGGTGGACCAGTTCTAGATTCTCCTTGGGGACCTAATTTTAGAATTGAAAGGTTGGAGGGTTTTTTCTTTAAGAGACAGCTTGATAAAACAGCTAACATCATTACTGCTGTCTAGACTACACAGTCTAGGCTATGTCTTTAGTGAGAAAACACTTGCACTTTGTTGCTATATGGGGGTCAACAGAAAGGAAAACAAAAGAAAACTATAAATGTGACTCATCATTAGTTGCTTCCCTGTGTGTGGCTTACTTTAGGATTTATTCACAGAAACTGATTTAGTAAGGTTTAAGCCAAGTAAGAAACTTCAATGAATTTTCTGGTTTATTTCTCCTCCATGTAAGATACAAAGATCTCAAGGGAAACTACTAGATTAGACAAGAACACTGGACTGCAGTTAAAATATAGGAGTGCATTAATTCTGCTGTCCTGTAGCCCCAGGATAGATGAGGTAATGTTTTGGGGTTTTTTTTTTGGAACAAGTCTTATTATAGTTAGCAGAAAAATAAGCTTCAAGTAACCAGGGCTACAATTTGCTGCAAGCATCTTATGGGTCCTGTAATAAAAAGCCATGTTTAGCCTAGTAAACTACAAGCAGGGAAAAAAAAAAAATGTAGCTGATTTCTGCCAAGGCAACAGTGAGCAAAACTGCATGATAAAAAGAGCAAAACCAATGGTCAAATCATCTGACGCTATCATCTGGTAACTCTACATGTGGAAGTATTTTGTAGTGCAGAGACAATTTGTAGTTCTGTAATCACAAGTAAAAAATGGAACTAGATACTGCAAAAGTAGTATCTGATAACACTTACTGAAAAATCCATTAAATATTTGGACAATCTATTTTCATTAAATAAATTTTCACACAAGCAAGCATACTAGATGAGCAAATTACAAGAAAAAGATAAATATCTATTAGCCACATCCAAAAATCTTTCTAAATTCCCCTTTTTTGCAGGGGTTTCCAGTAAGCTCTAATACATGGCAAAAACATGAATTGGACAGAGTAAAACATGTTCATTCACCATATGTAATCTGGTTCCCTATGAAGAAATTGTTGTCTTTTTCTTTTACTATTCTGTAATCTGATTAAGCAAGAAATATTTACCAGGTGGTCCCGGCAAACCTCGCGGTCCTTGAGATCCAGTCCCTCTTTCACCTTTCTCTCCAGGCATTCCTACAGAATAATAATAATAAAAAAGCAATAAATACCAAAGGAAGAAAATCACATCAACAAATATTTCTTCATGCTCTCTCATTGATCTTAATATTTAGTTCCCATTATTTAATGTAACAAGGCTGGTCAAATCTTATTTTATACAGATGTTCAAATGTGCATTTGGGAAAATAATTTGGACATAAATATACTAACCTAAAAATTAAGTAGGATGCAGGAGTAATTCAGTGTGAATAAACTTTCTCAAATATAGAAAAGTCTTTGAAATACTTAAAACACCACAGAACCTTATTATTTTAAGCTATATGAAGGTTTTTTCAACCTTGCATACCTCTGCTATAAAGGATGCTTCATACTTTCTTAGAAGCAGTTATGATAAAATAAGTTTAAGAAAGAGCAGAATTAAGAAATCCATTCTTCCTTTTTTTTTTCCTAGTATTTATTAAAGATTATACTAAAATATATGCTAGAAAACACAGCACTGAGTCTATGCTACAGCAGAGTAGCTAGAATAAGCAAAGGCCACAACACAGTGCAGTACACATACTCCAAGTCATTGCAATGATCCAAGGTAGGCACAAAATAGGTTTACCCATATGCTCACACTCAGTGCAGAATTGCTTCCTTCCTTCAGAGTACTGCAAAGAGCCAAGGACGTAGACCTAATTCTTTCAACTCCTACTTTTTATTCTTAGTAATGACTCATTTTTTCTTTTAATCAGAGTTGTGTTACTCCAAACAGCCTTTCAAGATGCATCTGTTTAGTGCCAGAAGAGTTCTGAGAACATTGACTTTCCTGGGATATCCTGTGGAAGCCTGAGACAGCAGCCAAAATGTTATACCAACTTGCTTCATGAAACATGAGCAAGGGAGAGACAAAGGAAAGCAGTTACATAATTAACCTTATCCTCCAGAATATCAGTGTCCCCAGGCATTCCAACTGACCTAACAGGTTACTGCTAGATGTGAGCTTCCTAGTCAACATGGTAAAGGGATCAGACTGCTCCTCTAGCAGCCTCTGCACCTTGTCCACTGTGAAATATACAGGTGCCTTGGAATTTACTCACCTCTTTCACCAGGTGGTCCTTGGACCCCAGGAGGTCCTGGGAATCCTGGTCTTCCTCCAGGTCCAGGCTCTCCTCTTGACCCAGCAGCTCCTGGGGGACCAGGTGGTCCTGGTGGCCCTGGCTGGTTACGGTTTGAATAATAATCATTCGGGATTTGATTCAGCATTTGATTGAACCGGCTCATTTGGCCTTCAAAAGGAAAGAAAATTGTTCAGTAAACCATGTGAAACGAGTGAAAGTCTTTTATCAGAGTGGGAAGGAACAAAAAATTATCTATCGTCATTAGATCATATCCTAGTTCTCATTCAATAAATTAGTGGTGAACTGGTACGGAAGAATTAGAAAGTCTTAAGATGAATGTCTGATAAGAAGGCTGAACATAAATGGAGGATGGAGGGAAAAAAGGTAAGGGGGATTCTGGAAACCAATAACATTAACAGAAAATAATTTTAAAGCAATTGAAGTAACAAAATAAGCATTTGTTTACAATACTCTTGCTCTCAGAGTTCTAGTTGGAGGTTGTTTCCACACTGAAGAACAGAAAGCACTTGTTACACTTCAAAAGGGGGAGTATCACATTTCTATGTAGTTTTGGAGCTCTGAAGCTACCTAAGCCACAGTATAAATTATTCATGTGTAGAGCAAGCAGCATGCACTGTATGAAGTTGTTCTCTTAAGCCTGTAGGATGCATAGGCTTGTACCTATATACATTCTGCATACAGGCAAATTTCATTTCCAAAGAAAGGTGTCTGAAAAAAAACAACAGCATTATGTAGCTATGCAGAAAGGATCCCTTTATGGGGGGCCACATCTAGCCCTACCTGATGAGTGTAATGTGCTACTCCTAGCATAACCCTGAAGAGATGACCTGAATATCAAATAATAAGGCAGGGATGCTCAAACAAGAGATGCTAAAAGATCTCGGATAACACATCCTTATTCACGAATGTACTTTCCTTCCTGTGCAATGGGTAACTAATAGACATGTTTTAAATAGCAGCCATCACAGACATTTTAAAGGACATACTGTCCCTCTCTCCGTACACAAGCACTCTTAATGAACCAAAAGGTATATCTGTTTACTTCAGTCAGCACTTACCCTTGCTATAGAAATAATATTAAGAACAATTTATGGGCACATTTGTCTCTGTCCTCCTCTGCAGGTCTACTGATAGCAAAAGCACTGCCTCAGGAACAGAGAGAAAGCCGCTGTACAGAGCACTTTCATGGGATGCAGAGCTGCACTGTGTGGCAGTAGAGGACTGAAATTCAATTTAAATAAATATAATTTTTACTTGCATAGCACAGCTGATTCTGTGCAGAGTATTTACCCAACACTCATCTGTCTTTTCCTGCTAGCCAAGTACCTGCAGTGAGTATCCATGTTCTCATCAATTGCCTCCTCCTGAAGATCAGACGTGTTTAATGAGAAAATGTATACTGAAGGACATGGACCTACTGGAGCAAGTCCAGAGGAGGACTACCAGGATGATCAGAGGGCTGGAGCACCTCTCCTATGAGGACAGGCTGAAAGAGTTGGGGCTGTTCAGCCTGGAGAAGAAAAGGCTCTGGAGAGACCTTATAGCGGCCTTCCAGTATATGAAGGGGCCTAAAAGAAAGCTGGAGAGGGACTTTTCACAAGGGTAGGTAGTGACAGAACAAGGGGCAATGGCTTTAAACTGGAAGAGGGTAGGTTTAGATTAGATATTAGGAAGAAATTCTTGACTGTGAGGGTGGTCACACACTGGAACAGGTTGCCCAGAGAAGCTGTGGATGCCCCCTCCCTGGAAGTGTTTAAGGCCAGGTTGGATGAGGCTTTGAGTAACTAGATGATCTTTAAGGTCCCTTCCAACCCAAACCATTCTATGATTCTATGATTTTAGTGTCAAAGATGAGGTAATTTTGGGCCAGGCTGACAAAAAGAAAGTTATTTCCCTGTACAAAGCATTAGACTTGAACAGATATTTCTAAAGGTCACAGATTAGTAAAAAATTCATGCTACATTTTTTATCACCAAATCATTGGCACTGGACAGCTATCAGATCACTCAAGCTCTTGCTATGCTCTGTGGCCAGTATCCCTCACCTTAAATTTAAACAACTGCTTTCTCTTTTAACAAAGTAATAAATTACTATTATGAGAAACAAAGCAAGCAACACTGTTTACCATTTATCAGTTGTTCACAAACTTGTCTTGCAACTGCTCGCATCATGTTCTGAGAAGCAATGTCACCCTAAATAATTAAAACCAAAACAAGTGTTTTATTAGCAAGTGTTTAAAGACATAGTGTTTAATTTAAAAACCTGAGAAAAACTGACTTTAAAGCAGACTTACCCTGTCACCTTTCTCTCCTTTCATTCCAGGTGCACCCTAAAACAAATACAGTAAAAATAAAATAACTGAAGGATTATGTCATTCCACCCCACCTATAAGTTTGAGACATGCAATTTTAGATAACATTTTGACTCCTTCAGGAAGACAGACCTGGTCCTCCTTGAGCTTTACATTTCAGAGATGGTAAAAAAGGTGCCAGAAAAGGGTGGACAAGCAGTGATCTTTTGTGTATAATCAATCACAATGCAGATGCCAAAGAAAAAGATCTGAAGGAAAAATTCAAACTAGGGTCAAAGAAACTCTGTTGCTGGGAGCATACTGGCAATTTGAAAGTTGAATTTCTAGCATCACATTTCTGTAAATGGTGAGTAGTATTGTATGAATTATATATGACTGTTTAATTTTAAGTCTTAAGTCAACTCAACATTAAAGACAGTAAGTTAGGAAGAATAACATGTCTAGGAAGGGTAGCTGTTTCCTTAAATCCACAAGAAACAGACCCTGTGTTAAGCGAAAAAGCGCTATGCAGAGGTGACACATAAGATGGCGAGAGATGCCATTAAGTGCTTATTCTATTTATAATGACAGCTTCCCTGCTAATTCTCAACCATTTCTAGTCTTACAATACTCTCACAGGAGTCTTAGCTTGAGCTGCTCTATAATTATTGACATTTGCCAAGAGCTAACTTTTGTCTAACAGCAATTTCCATTTGCATGTGAATACTCTAGGGGTTGTTGTGGAGTATTTCAAAAATACTATGTAAGAAACCAATCAGAAGGAGTGATTCTTATTTTTATATATGTACATGTCTATGGCTGGAAAAACACCGGGTACACTGTAAAGGTGTTTTTAAATGCTGAAATGGAGATATACATGTGCCATCTACTCTGCAAACAAAATTTAGTGTGTGCACCTCTCACACAATGTTTTGAGATTTTAGCCTTATGTTTGCATTCCACTGCTAACAAAGAAAAGCATCCAGAGAGAGCAAACCATACTTTCCAAAGAAAATGTAATTACTATGCTTGGTATGATGGATTTTTAAAGATTTTCAAAATAGATAGCAATAATCTCAGAAGGAAGTTTATAACTTGCCTTGGTCTATTTGACATGATTTTTGCCACAGTTAAAGTTGCAGATGCTCATTTAAAATACACAGAAAAATAGATTCACAGTCATTTGTTTTATCCACTAAGTTGCCCTTTGAAAAATTTAAAAACCTGCAAAGTGTTTTAAAACTACTTTTTTAATTTTCACATCAAAATACAAAAGAAAAAAACAAAACAAAACAAAACAAAACTGCATTTACTGCAAGACTTGCTTAGGAAGCCATCAGGAATAGGCCTTCCAATGCTTTTGAATACTCACTGTGACAAATGCCACACGTGCCTAATTCCAGGTCAGTACAAACAAAATTTTGGCCAAAACTATGGCTCCTGAAGTGGCCAGTGTGAGTTTTACAGGTGACTTCAGTGGATGCAAAGTTAGGCCACAGCTGAGTCCTTCTAAAAATCTACTGTAAATTCACCTGCCAAAATGTGTCCAAAGAGCACAGGAGCTTAGTTAAGCAAAAAGGGGCTAGCATGAGATCAAGCAGGTTTCTACTTGTAGCCTGAGCTTCTATTTGAATAAGGCACATTTCAAAGGTGAAAGACCAGTTGGGTCGGCTGCTGCTCTGCATGGCTCTCCAAACAGGTACATACATCCTAAGTATTACTGCTTTTCACATTGTAGTATTTCTTTAAGGAGCCTGTTCATCACCATTAACAAAGCAAAGTAAGTGTGGGCCGCAGCTGTTTTTCATAATATTCCTACAGTACCCGCAATTAATTTCAACACAAGACAACAAATCATTCCACTGAGGTCACAGCAGATACAATTCAAATGTGGTGGCACTGTTTAATAGACTTCCATCAAGGTTTTGAGCAAACAAATTCCCATGGGGTACGTCAGGGTGTTAACTTAGTATGCAATCATCTGGGCTTCTCTGCAGCAGTATCACATACACCTACCCCATGACATGCCACAGAAAACATGAGGCAACTAATCCATCAGTGAGTTAAGTAGCTGGCATACGGTACATTTGCATCATGCATAATAGATCATTCATGCAAAATTAATTGTACAGACTCAAATGAAAGATTTAGAATGGCAACACCATAAATGTACCACTGGAATAAATTATGGAAAAATAAATTTGCTGACCAAGGAGACAGATACTAATATGTACACAATACACCCATCAAACTGATGAATATTCTTTCCCTTCTGTCCTTCGCTCATTCATCTATATCTTTCCTTACTCTGTGAATTCCACAAGGAAAAGGTCTGCTTTTCATTTTTCGCTTAGCAGAGCTGAAAAGAGCTGAAACAGACCATGGACTCATAAATGCCATAAGAACATAAATAAACTGAAACAATTACAATCACCAGGAAAATATGATATTTCTCTCTGTCATTCTCTAATAATTAACATTGTGGTAAATGCTGATGTGCTGAAGATCTAAAAGAAACATAATTTGACTCCCAGTTCACCAGGCATTAACAGCTCAGTCATAAATTATCACATGTACCTGAAATATCCATCAAAAAGAATTGCAGGTTTTTCACTTGCACTAGTCTATAACATGAAAATCTGGGGGTAAAAAATATTAACTACTTAATTGGTGCTTCTCTTTCAGTCTGAAACTTGTGAATGTTTGTTATTTTCTGAAAGCATATTCATTTGGAATTATCTGCTGGGTACATATTTATAATACCTGCTCATTCCTTCTAAGGCTTTCATGGTACAACTTTGTTTTGTTTTGACTGGAAGCAAATCATTCAGTATGTCTTCTTGTTTATTCACTGGGTTAAGTGCAGGTATCAGAAATCAGAATTCTGGTCTACTGTCCCAGCAATATTCTAGTAATTACTTCAAATGCCCTGTTTCCATGAATTCACTTGCTAGCACATTCACATACCAGAACTATACACAAAAGAAAAAAAAAAAAAAAAAAATGAAGCAAACTTAAAACGTTCAAATCCTACGTAATGTTTCCAGAAATATTTTTGCTGACCAGTCATGAAAAGTTCTTCAGGCTGTCTTCAGCCACAAGCCCTGTTGGTAAGACATGAAGGTGCTCTGGTAACAGAAGCACAACATTGCTCCAAAGTATTGCCAACAAAGGTCCCCCAGCTAGAAAAATGCTAAGGCCATTCCTTATTTATAAGTGATACATAGTCAACTTTACAATTCATTGAAAACAAATAAGCCTCCTTCTTCAACTTCTGATGTTGCAAAGATACAGTGATTTAGCCTTATGGTTGGAAATCTATAGGCTATTCCTAATTAATTTTAAAATTTGAAGATAAGAGGCTGACTGGCTGTATTAACAACAAAGTTCATTTTCCACCTGGATATTTTAGAAATATGATTTCCAGAAAATTATTACAACTGCAATTATTTAGTTGATATTTGCATCTTCCTCCCACTTGGTTATACTCTTCTTAAATTTCACTTTATTTTCTTTTAATAGAGATATTTTCTTTTAATAGAGAAAAACGTGCAATTTAGTGAACTGTTTGCCAGCATTTTGAGAAACAGCAGCTGCTGCTGACATTTTTTTTTGGTTGATATCCTACAATGAGGGAGTTACTCAGGGTCAGTGTGAGGAAAAGCTAGTTTATGCTGCATGTGGGATTTTTCTGAGCTGTGGGATGAAGGCTGGCTCTGCAGCAAAGTTCTATGGCTGAAGGACGACAAAACAAAGGAAGTTTTGCTATTTTTACTTTAAAAGATAATGCACTCAATTGTTTTCCCCAAAAGAATGTTTGCTCCCCACAAGAACCACTAGTTCACTGCTCCCAAAGCGATGTCTTTTTGAGACCTCATCTAGGATGTCTGCATAAGAGGGACACAAAACCAGTGAATACATGGCTGCAGAGAATGGAAAATACTGAAAAACTGCATTTAAATCACAACAAATATCTCACTTATCTGCTTGGAAGTACCCTCTAAAGGTTTTCATGGGCTGTTTGGTCCTGGAGGCATCAGTCTAATAGCATCTTGTATATAAAACATAAATGCCTTGCACTATTTCCTGGGGACCTTATAGATCATCAAAGTCAGATCCTGTTGTCACAGTCTGTTTTATAAACAACACAGCTCTACCTTAAGGTGACTTATTCTGCCTATCCAGCCATTACCATTCTCGCTCTTACATCTATAAAACAACAGTACTGGAACTTTTCTTCCCGATAGTCCAAGATCTTCTATTTCCTGTTACATTTATTCACAAAAAAAATGTACATCCATTTCTTCTTGAGTCAATATCCTCTTTTAGCTTAATGAATTTTTCTTACCCTTGCTGGTTGTTACCCTGTGATATATGTACAGACTACTACCAAATTCTTGCTGTCTGTCTGACCAGGCAGGCAGAGGACAGATATATTCGTTCCCTCTAGGATAGCCAGTGCTCAACTTTCAATAGATTTACTGACTCATTTGCGTTCTTACTGTTGCTTTCTTGGTCATTTTGTTACTACACTGAAAAAATACATAAGTTGTTCTTGGAAGTACTTATAAGCAGATTAAAAAGTCAAATTTCCTCTTTCCATGAAAATTCAGTTAACGCTTCAAGTATTAACTTGTTCTAGTATAAGTATACATTGAGGTAAAGAAATGTTTACAGCCACATTTGCGGTGCAGTCTGCCTCAGCTTAGCACATGAGTGGTATTCACATCAGGAAAGAGCTCCAATTGACTGCATTCACTGGGAACGCAGGTTCCTCATAATTTGCATGTAACTGCATACCTTTCACCTGGGATGTTTCTTGCTTTGTAGTGGTTTACTACCTGACTTGCACTGCATAGTACCAAAATTGCAGATCGTTCAGGTAGAAGAAAAAAGGCAGGATCTGGACAAAAATTATTTCCTTCTATTTGCAAGAGGCAACGTGGAGCCTCACTATCTTTCTCCAGGACAGGAAGTTACAAATTCAGGCAGGCCTGAGCTACATTCAGCACACGGCAAGTTGCATTTGGCCATTAGGCTGCACCTTTGGCAGTTCTAATTGTGGACACAAAGGAAAGCATTGATATTCTGTCCACCAG